CATTCCCTGCAGGTAGTGCAAATCTCATAAAGGATCTAGAACCTCCCAAACAGCACCACCAGCTGGGAAGTCAGCCTACAGACACAGGAGCCCCTGGGGACATTTCACATTCAAACCATGAGAGCTACCTTTTCAGAGTACTTAAGTAGCTCAGAGAAGCCTGCAGACAGGCCTGTGTTGAGACTCAGAATGCATGGCATCCACACTTGTGTGCTGTCTAGCTGAATCAGAGTGATCAGAGGCCAGAGCCGGAGGACCTGAGGAGCAATCTGGTCCCATCGAATGATGGACAAGAAGTCAGAAGGGCCAGCTGACCCAGACCTGGGGACCAGTGTCCCCCTGGGATCTCTGTTTCCTACCTGGAGCCAGCATGGCGTCCTCCCTCCCACCCCCACCATGCCACTCTGTTTGGAGTGCAGGAAGATTCCAGAGTTTTCTAAACTGTGGATCTCTTCACCTGTCTCATTCACAGCACATGACCTCATGCTTTTAAAAAGTTCATCGTCTTAAAAAGATTTTATTATTTATTTTTATTTTATGTGTATGAGTGTTCGCTTGTATGTATGTATGTGCGCTATATGTGTGCCTGGTGCCAGAGGAAGCCAGAAGAGGGCCTCAGATCCCCTGGAACTGGAATTACAGATGGTGTGAGTTACCAGGAAGGTGCTGGGAATTGAACCAGGTCCTCTGCAAGAGCAGTAAGTGTTCTTAACCACGGTGCCATCTTTCTAGTCCTCGAAAGGTAATTTTTAGTGACTAGAGATATGGCTCTGCCATTAAGAGCACTAACTGCTCTTGCAGAGGACCCAGTTCAATTCCCAGCACCCACAGGGCAGCTAACAACCCTCTGTAACACCAATTCTAGGGGCTCTGACCACCTCTTCTGACCACTGATGGCACAGCTTGACATGCGTGCACTTAGACACATGCAGGCAATACACTCACACACAAAAGTAATAAATAAAATATTTTTAAAGTTAATTTTTTAGAAATTATTCATTTATTTTTATTCTACATATATGATTGTTTTGTCTGAATGTATGTAAGTGCATTTGTGTCACACAATGCCCATAGGGGCCAGGAGGGAAAG